CTTGAATTTTTAAAATCTGACATCAGATTCGTAATCAGCAACTCGAAGAACCCGTAGATACCGAATTTTGCAAAAATTCCTGCGATAAAGCGTTATTGGTGCCATACTTTCTTAGTAGGTAGGTTTGACCCTCTACATCTTTGAAAGCAATCGTATGCTCAACGTAAGACTTTTTTGCAATTAATGTCTCATCATGAACTATCTTTTGGCATAAAATTCGGTTCCAAAATCGAGGACCGAGAAACGGGCGAAAAATCGACCCTTCTTGCGGAGGTTCTTTCTTCTCCGTTGGCAAATAAATATCGATTGTGCTGTAACGACATTTACATTGATCGAGCGGCTCTGCAGGGCGCCTCGCATTGTTTCTTCTGATCTATAATTTGTTTTATCTATTTGTCATCGAGGTACGGTTACCGTGCGTCTGCAGTTAATGGTATAGCGTCGGGTCTCGTTTGTATTTCCGAGGTAGCTATAATCGTGCACACAGGTGCACACACACACACACACACACACACACACACACACACACACGATCAGGATCCGTTCTTAGCCAGAGACCGTACGCAGTTACGTTCGCGCGACTTCTCGTTTCTATAGACGCTTTCTGTGTGTGCAAACGCCAGCCGTGTTATGCACGACTGGTCGAGCATACCATTTGCGTTATTTCCCTATTGCCGGTGATTTCATTTGAATGGCGCAGGCCATTCGAACGGGACAAACGGTTAAGTGCGCACCGATTAACCAAACATTGATTAAAATTAAGGTGAGCGACACGAGCGTCGCGAGTGAAAATCGAAGCAACTGACATTGGCAGGAAACGACGGCGTTGCTTCTCTTACCTTTCCTTCGAGTTCGATCGCATGTGATAATATCCCCCGGTCGTACCGTGAAAATATTGTTCTCGGTACACGCAGTCGTTGTTGTTCTCGGAAGCCGCGAGTCCTCGAAAAAGATAAACGCGGTGTGTGCGCGCGCTCGCGCGCGTGCGTAGAAAAAGCGTCGCTTTTAATTAAAATGCTCAGGGGTTAGAAAGCGTGATGAATGGGATCGTCGGCCGTATACGGCGCGGCGCGGCCGCGCCAAGAAGAACTCTATTAATTATTAGACGACACCAGATCCATTATCCGGGACGGAAGGAGCGACGGAAGAGGTCCGCGAGGAATAGTTTCCATTCGGATACCATTAGGACTCCGCCGGACTCTTTCGCTTCATCCCTTTCCGTCGCGCCTCGGCAGCGCAAAACAAAGCTAATTATTAAGACCGCAGTGAACGCGCCGCGTGGGTTGCATAGGTCCAACATTAACCCCCATAGGTGGGTCCGTTGCAGCTATGCCCGTTCTTATACGGGGTGTGTACCGATGATATCGAGTGCTTGATCTTCAATCGTTCAAACATCTCACTCAATCTCCGGATGAAACGCTGATGAGGATATTTAAATTCGAGCGACGCGGCTGTCACTCAACTTTTCAAGCGAAATCCCAAAGTCGACGAAATATCGCGAATGCGCGAAGATCGAAGTTGATCTTGCTCGAGGAACGTGTATGAGTGCCGGCAAGAGAGACATTGTTTCGTAATAAAAATAGAATACCAGCAGTCCCCGATCGTTGGAGTATAAGATAATAGCCAGTCTGGCGAATGATCGCGTACAATTTAGCGTCGCACACGCTTCATACAGATCTAATTGGTCTGGATCTGTTAAGTTGAATATATGAATGTATATCCAGTACATGTGGAACAAACGCGAGCAATTATATTCCCATTCTCTCCGAGAGAAGAATGCGCCGCGGTGTTAAGATCGAGATCACGCGAGAGACCCGACAAAGATGAGGGAGAGAGAGAGAGAAAGAGAGAGAGAGAGAGAGAGAGAGAGAGAGAGAGAGAGAGAGAGAGAGAGAGAGAGAGGCGTCTCTAGGAGCTCGCGCTCTCGCAATGACATCTCATTAACACTATTTTCTTAATAATAAAGATGAGGGGGAGAGAGAGAGAGAGAGAGAGAGAGAGAGAGGCGTCTCTAGGAGCTCGCGCTCTCGCAATGACATCTCATTAACACTATTTTAATAAGAACTGGTCCTGCTCGCGAGCCGTCCCGACGTGTCCATCTCGTTTTCTTTTCGCCCGGCCGCGCGCAGCCTTGGCGGCGGCGGGGGCACCTCGGGGGCAGCGTGAGCGAGCGCAAAGGCCGCGCAAAGGCCGTTAAATATATGTATACCGCGTAAGAATAATAATTATTCCTAAGTATAGGCCTGCGCGAACGGCCGCGACGGCGCGGTGTCTTTGACGTCGGCCGGCGAGGTCCGCACTCGTCCCGTCGCATCGTTCGGCATCGTTCCCATGGCGAGCGCTTCAATTAAACAAACAGTCCGCCGGCCGATGCGTAAAATTTGATGATTTGCATATTAATTCCGCGAGGAGCGGCCATTGGCGCTGCCGAGGAATCCGCGAGAGTCGTTGCCGACGCGATTTACGGCGCATCGGGCGCAGCGAGAGTCCACGGAAACGTATCGGATCGCATAGCTGAAAGAGAGGGACAAGTAGCCGGCGTGGCGGACGCGAGCGAAAACGGAAGCGCCGCTTTCGAGGTGAAAAACGCCGGCAGCACCGATTGGAATCACGCGTCTCGATTCCTCTACGAGGAATCATCCGATCGGGCGCGTGGCGCCGACATTATGTTAATAATTTTACGACGCGCGAGCCGTCGCACAGCGGGGCCAGATGACATTTTCTGGTTCAAAATTCTCCAGAGATCTGAGTTTAAGAGAGAAAGTGTGTCGGTCGGTGATCAACCGATCATCGACACCAATGGACGAGGTTGATCCTGAATAAATTCCAAAGAGATCTGTCCAGCCGAAATTTTGAAAAAAATATCGGTTCAGGGTTCACGGGTTTAGGGTTTGTCTTGAAGGTTTATCGTTTAAAGTACAGTGTCTTGGGTTCGAGTCTATGGATATTGAATGAGAGAACTTATAATCACCTTTTGGAAAACTCAGAATTTCAAAGCCCATCATTTCACCCCACATTAAGAGGGTTGAGAAAGTATTAAGGATTAAAATCCCTCGGATCTGTGCTCAACGGGTCTATATTTGATGTTTTTGTGCATATTTTGGGCATATGAGTTTTGGGTTTCTGGTTCAAGATCGATAAATCTCGAGGTGTCTGTTGATTGGTCTCATAGTTTCAATCCGCTGAATACGCTGTTAGATAGAAACAAGTGTCCTTTTTAATTCTGGCAAGACAGATCTCTTTGGAATTTGAATCAGGATCAACCTCATCCATGGGTCATCGATGATCGGTTGAAAATTCAGGTCTCTGGAGAATTTTCAACCAAAGAATGTCATCTGGCCCCGCTGTGCGTCGTCCGGAAAAATCCCGAAGTCTCTCTCTCTCTCATTATAGGTGAGGTCTCGGTCTCGGGACGAGAGGAAACGAATTCGATCGCGTATCCTTTGGTTTTCTAACGCGGCCCCGGACGCGACTCGTTACGTTCGCCGAGCCTCATTCGCAACTTGCCATAACGCACTTTCTCCCGGGTGTTAAATCGCGCAATTTGCACGCCGACTCGATATTTCCTCGGCTACAATTAAAGTCGCGTGCGCGCGAGAGGGAGAGAGAGAGAGAGAGAGAGAGAGAGAGAGAAGGAGGGGGAGGAACAGATATTTCGTGCACGCCCTTCAAGTTGCAATGTTAATGTTATGTCGCAATGCTCCGTAAGCGCTCGATCGCGATGGCGCGTCCTGATCGTTACGCTGCCTCCGTCGACGGCCTCCGTTCCCTACGGCGAACATTTTAATTAAGCGGACAGCGCGTCGCGTTAAAAAAAATGGACTTTACATATTAATTTCGCGAGTGACACCGGCGCAGCGCCTTCTCCTCCGGCTTTCTTTTCCTCTCGCGGCTTGAGAATGTCGAATGACTCGCACGCTTTTGCCATTGCTCTCATTAATACAAACCGTTGTCGCGCGGAAGGCGTTGGCGACACGAGGAGCGCGGCGCGAGTCGGGAGAGATCGGACAGCCCGGTGACATGCAAGGTAACGCAAACTCGTCCGCAAAATACCTACGCCAATGTCAGCTAGTCAGGCCACCATGTAGTAGCCGTTGTTGTCGGCTACCACTGTCATAACTACTAAATAACTCGCGCACTTTACCGCCGAATTGGCCGGCTCCGCGCGCCGACGTAAATACTGCAGGTTACGAGCCTGGCGGCGTATCCTGGCGTCCGAGGATACACGCAGGAGTATACACGTCCTCGCGTGGTGTCGCGGTGGCCGCGGAGGGAGCGCAGCGATACGTGTCGGCAGGGTGTCAATCAGCCGCCGCTGGCCGCCGCGCACACCGACGACTTTTAATTATCGAAAGTCCTGCGAACGTAACGGGCCCGCCCGTTGTTGCTAACGATTCGAGAAGCGCGCGCACGCTGATCCCGCTAACGAAGAGTAAAATGTAAATCCGCGCGCGCCTAACGGCCGGCCTGCCGCCGCGCTCCGCGCTGGCGAATTGATTATTAAAGTTAATCCCCCGCCTCCTAGTCGTGACTCGGAACAAAAGCCCGCTGGTTATTGAACCCTCATCGCCACGGACCAGCAAGATCGTTGATTGCGGCCGCCGGAATTGCTTGTATTTTTAGCGCCCACCGACGCGTCGGTTCGGGACACTTGAAGCGGCCGCGCTGCGTTCCTCCATTTTATCCGCGATCTTGAACTGATATTTCTTTCGAGGAACGGACTGGATACAGTCCAGAAGACAGGATACAGTCCAGAACGTGTCATCAGACAGCCGATTACAGCGAGTCTTCTTGACGGAACTATGGGAGTAAAATAAGTTTGTTGCGGTGTTTTGATCTTTGAGATAATTTGCGCAGTCGAAAATGAACGTGACGATGTAATGTTCGGATTGAAAGGTATGACATGAATCTCGCCGCGAATTAGTTGTCACTTGTTAACATTGATATATACATCTTTATTTTGAGCGTAGCTAAGCGAGGGGCTTTGTGTCTTGTTGCAGCTTGAAACCGCCGCAAAAAGACGGGGTAACAAAATCGAACCCTAGTAAGCGGCATCGGGAACGATTGAACGCCGAGCTGGACACGTTGGCGTCGTTACTTCCTTTCGAGCAGAACATCCTCAGCAAGCTCGACCGACTCAGCATCCTCAGACTCAGCGTAAGCTACCTCCGCACCAAGAGCTACTTCCAAGGTAAGTCGAGCTTTTCGTTCGGATTTATTTTGTGTTCAAGTCTTCCTAACGTAAATTATCAGGTTCAGGTTCGGGAAACGTTTTTGTATACAACTTCAGTCATTTGCTTATTTAACGATAAAGTCATCTTTTTACGCTAAGAAAGAAGAAATTATATAAATTACATAGAACATTTGTATATGTTGTCTATCGTTCAAGCTGATATATAATAATAATTATCGCAAAAGAAATGTAAAGGAAGATGAACAGTTCGAGAGTAACTAATAAAATCACGAGCACGCGAATACAAGTAACAGAATATACAAGTTACAGGAAATCTAATTGTGTAACGACCGGTCAGTATGCATAATATCAGTTTTGAGAAGTTTAAATAATGAAAACGAGAATGTTCAAATTAATCAAAATGACCGGTCATTATGTACAATGCCCACGAATATGTGGGAAATGTGACGAATATGTTAAAAGAAAATGTGATAAAAACACGAAACGAGTAAAAATATTTAAATGCGTGGTAACGCACGTAGTGCGTAGTAAAGCTAGAAGTTGAGATTGCGAGAAACTGCTATAAAAGACATTAGTTTTTCAATCTTGTGTAGAGACATTTGTTAATCTTCGTAAACTATCCATTGTTAATATTAGCAGACTCATCAATTTAATATAAGACGAAATACTTTATAAGGTAAATATCGCACGTCCGTAAGTATCGCATAATTATGATCAATAGCATTGTAAAAAAGCCAACCAGAGTCAGATGTCAACTGCAGAATGCCAACAGCGAAAATCTTACAACTGCAAGGCCAGATATTTACAGGGACATATTTCCGGACAATTCACCGGAAATATCAGATGATGCTGAAAATATTGATACAGGCGTTTGTGTAAGACAGCCGGCGGAGATAAAATTTAGTTTGACCATCGACGTTTGTTTTGTGAATATAAGGCAAAGTGCTCGTTTAATCGTCGATGATTGTTTCGGCGGCAACAACGATAATAACCACAGGATATTATGCTCAACTCTCTCTCTCTTTCGCGCGTTTCGACAAATTATTATATACATATTTTTTTCACATTTGTCGGAAAAGCGTATCGCGCTCGTCATTCATTTATCGGCGCATCAAATTAAACCGTGCTAATTATACGAAAAATATGAGGACGCCAGCATAATCGCGAATTAATTAGTATCGCTCTCTCATTCGCCGATCCATTATCGCCGGTTGCGTCGTAACATAGCTGAAACATGTAGATCTCAGACAACAACAAATATCTCGGATTGCGGTCATGAGCCCCGTCGTAAACGTAAGCATCCATCGTCCGTTCGTTAGCACGCGAGATACTCGTTACACCACCGAGACAATGAGACTCGAAAACAATGCGCGGTCCATACGCCCCTTCCCCTCCCCCTGCTTGCTCTCTTTCTCCTGCAGTCTGCAGCGGCTGATAGCTTAATACGGGAATCGTGCTTCCACTCTCGTGGTTGCACAGGAATGAAGTGCTAGGAGCTAGATAGAACGAGGTCCTGTTCGCGCGTACACACAAGCGGGCAGTGAGAAATGAATTTTTGATTGCCGCCGCGATACAGAGCGAGCGCGATGCACCAACGAAAATGTGCGAGTCACAATTAATCTCACGGTCGGCAATCTGACGATAACCCGTTGAGAGACAGCGGAAGAGCGTTGAAACGCTCGTGCCGAAATCGCGAGGAATTATCTGCGGCCGACAGATTGCTCGGTCATTTTTTATTCGGCTTTTTCTCCTGCTTTATTTCTTTTTTTTTTTCGAGGCGCCGGGGGAGGGAATATTTTCCGACGAATTTCGCTAGCGAGGTGAAGACACGGATGCGATTGATCGCCGCGAGCAATACGTTCGGCCGTTATGCAGAAATTATGCAACTTCAGCGGGAGAACGCCTTCCTGCACCGCGGGTGCGCAATCTCATCCGCAATCGCAATCAGGTGGGGAGGGCCTGATCGAGGAATCGCCGCGCGCGGAATAATGGCTAGAATCGCTCGCGCGCGCGCGCGCGAGCACGTCTCCCTAGCTCTACCTACCATTATCCGCCGCGCCGTGCTTTCGTCCCTTGTTTCTAATCTCGCGACCAAGGCGAGCAAGTGACTCCCGCGCCAACGCGAAATCAAACCCATCGGTTCTACGCCGATGTCTATCTGCGTCACTATGGAATAGCACTGCCGAAAGAGTAGAATCGTCTTTGCTTCTCGCTTGATTCTCCCCGAGATTAAGGGGACTGGAGGGTCGGATTATTGAAAAATCGTGCTTATTTTTGATAATGATCTTGTGGCGAGCTGAATAAATGTGCTTGAATGAAAATTTTACGTAACATTTACGTAACATTTATATAACATATGAAGAATGGAAAAGTTTAGTTTTTAAGCAAATATTCATATAAATATACGTCCACTTAAATTTTAAACGCGTTTCTCTCGAAATTTTATTGTTCAACCTTTTGCAGTTGATTTCACCGAAACTGAGCTCCGTGTCGATTTGAAATTTTAAAGCAATAATATTTGTTCATGTCGCTCTCAGGTGAATCATGGACAACTCCGTCAAAATATTTCATTTCGAGATATTAATTTTTTTATTGTAAAAGAACTGAAAAATTTGCATTTTTTCCTAATAATAGCTGCCATTTTGTTAACTTTGTTCGATTTTTTTTCTCTAGTTCCGGTTCACCGGATAATGATAAGCCTCCTCAAGATTTCTAGCTAAAATTCGCTCTGATCGGACCACCGAGAGCCGAGATATTACTGCAAAAGCGATATTTCAGCTATATATATTGTATATCGTATATTTATACGAGTATTTGTTAATAAACAAAATTTTTCTACTCTTCGTATGTTGTATAACTATACCTAAAATTTTCATTCTTGAACATTTATTCAGTTCGTCACAAAATATTATCAAAAAACAAGCACGATTTTTCAGCAAACTGACCCTCCAGTCCCCTTAAAGAGAATTATCTCCTCGAGACTGTCTTTATCGGCCAGTCGGAAGGGAAGTGAAGAACTTATCATACCTACTCTCTCTCTCTCTCTCTTTCTCTCTCTCTCTCTCTCTCTCTCTCTCTCTCTCTCTCTCCTCTCTCTTTCTACCCTCGCTCTCAATCATATCCGTCACTGTGTCGAAACGCGACGACGACACAGCGTCAAACGCAAGCGGCCGTCGGCGTTTCCTCCGCAAGAGGAAGCAGCCAGCGTGCACGAGCGGCTGGGAAAGAGTCCATTAGCGGAAGAGAAGAGCGGCATACATACACACACACACACACACACACACACACACCGGTTGCGACGGTCGTAGTCGCGACGCGCGAGAAGAACGCTCGATCTTCCATGGGAGCGAGTGGGAGCGCGATGGCAGATATACCGGGGCGCAATAGCGTATGCAAGGTAATGCACGGCCACGAATCCGGATTGAACTCGCGGAGGAGGACGTTTTGCCGTGTTTCTTCGTCTGTGTACGCGCGCGAGCGAGCGAGCGCGTGTTGCTGTTGCTCGCTACCTCCGCACGATATCGCGGATCTCGCAGTATATCACCGGAGACCGCGCGCGAGGTTGCAGCCCGGGCTTCTACTTAGCGTTTTTGTTGTTGTTGTTGTTGCTGCTGCTGCTGCTGTTGCTGCTGCTGCTGCGATCCCGAGCGACTCGCGCGGGCGCGAGGCTCGATGCGAGCGAGCCGCAGCGCATTGTTCACACCGTTTTAATAGGTATTCATTGTCGGGGTTCAGATCTCTGCCGAAGAGACTCCCAACGGAGTGTCGTCCCGATGCGCCCCGATACCTGGGAGTTCCTGCTCCTCGATGGACCATACCCGCGTCTCCCCCCCCCCCCTGGGGCGAGGCACCTCCCAGCACCTGCGCAGGACTCCGGAAAGTATCGCGGATTCGTAATTGATTTTAATTAGATTAGACGGGCGCTACGAGATCGCCAACGAGGCACTGAAAATCGCAAGACCCTCGTCGCGCCTGCAGCTTCGCTCTCCCGCCTCCGCACTCGGCGGCCGACCGGTATTCGGATCGCGGGGCCCGATTTCCGGAAACGTCAACGACTTCCGTTCCGCAGAAGCGCGCGCGGCACGGGCCCGATTAAAAAGCATCTCCGTTCGCGCCTCGGCGAGCGCGCTGCAGCCGTTAACAAGATTAACAGCTCCCCGCGTTCGATCGGCAACATTAATCCAAGTAACACAGGTAGTGGTAACCCGGAGGAACCCCCCCCCACCCCCACCCCAGTGGGGCTCCTCTTTCTTTCTCCCTCGCGTTCTGCGCGCTATGTAAATTAATTAGGGCCCTCGGTAAACCGCGCTGATTTTTCAAGTAGGCACGTGGTGCGCGCCTCCCTCGCCTCGAGGTAGGCAGAAGTGAAAGAAGAAGAAGAAGAGGAAGATGAAGATGAAGAAGAAGAAGAAGAAGAAGAAGAAGAAGGTGGCGAAGTCGAGGCCCGAGGTGAATTCGCCGGGCGTTGAGGAGGCGGTGTGCGAAGAGATGGCCCCTGCACACTTGGGTCCTTTCCGTGGACCCAGATAGCAGATCTTCCTCAGAGGCTGCACCTCCTTCGTCGCCTTTCTCACAGCGTCTCTCCACCTTCTCTCTCTCTCTCTCTCTCTCTCTCTCTTCTTCTTCTCTCACACCCCATGTTGCCGTTGCTCGCGCTACCGGTCGGAGATCCCGCTCGAACGAATCTGGGCAATTAACCCGCGCCACTTAGTCTTATTATTGGTTGATCTTCTCCTGCGCGTCGTCCTTGAGCCTACTCCTCTCTCGCGGCTCCTCTCATTCTTGATTCCAAGGCGCGCTTCCGGCACGCGATTCGGCACGCATTCCCGCTGCGCTTACGCGGAGAAAATCGAGCGAGATGTACTCTCAAAGCCGTTGATTTTGGCCTTTCAACGAATTTCTTACACGAGCTTGACATTTACTAAGTACGTGGTCTTGTTTAAAATATATCAGGCAGTCGGCGGAGGTCCCAATTCGTTACGTGAGCGCGATACGTA